TATGATAGTTGACAATGGCGTATAAAAAATTTATAAATTGGACTTTCTACCTTTACCCCCTCATTCACAAACAACATTTTTATTTTATAAAAGGTTTATAAAACAAAATTTCCATACAAAATCTAATTTATAAACTGTTTATAAAATAAAAATTTTGTTTGTGAATAAGGGGGTTAATATTTAAATGTTTTTGTAGATAGGGCCTTTAGTTTTTTGTCAATAAAAACGTTTATTTTTGTGTGGATATTTGTTTTGATGCAATACATGATAATCACCAATAAAAACGATTTTGAATTTTTGGTTAGTTAGAGCCGTTTGCGTTCCAGGTAACGATATGTCAAATAAAATGGATGCGTATTGTAAAAACAATGGTGTATTCTACCCAAAAAATGGCGTGGCGAAGAGGTTTAACCGAACTGTTATTGAAAAAGTTCGAGCGTTATTAATTGAATCGGGTGCACGGAAATTTCTTTGGACAGAAGCACTACACACAATCACAATATTAAAATACAAATTTTGATGCATTTGTTGTTGCAATTTATTATTTTTCATCAGAATTTTCAGGTCAATAAATTATTTTGCATTTTTATAGCGGGTTTTTGAGATGGTAATCAAACACCAATTAATAATTAATTAGTTAATCTAAAAATAAATTTAATCTTATGTTAATCCCCTTTGATGTTTTTGAGTACAAGATTAAACTTCGCAGTGTTGCCATACAAAACAACAGAAAACTTCACTGTTTGTTATCAAAACAATGCTTATTTTATAAAAAGAAGAAGACAATTGTAAATTTAATATGAAAATTAATGAAAAATTAAATTAAAAACAAAAAAATGTATTTTGAAGTGTCCATAATTTATACTAATCAATAAATAGAACATTTTAATGTTTATATTTATAAAAAATTTATTAATTTTTTTGCATCAGCTGTTTACACTTTTCCATTTCGGCGCTTAAACTTGCAAACAAAATTAACTAATTGAGTACTCAAAAACATCTTTCGAGGATTAATTTCAATTTAATCGCTAATCTTTCACCTAAAGATTGGCCCTTAGAATTCCAGTTAATTTCGTTGGGTTTTTCAAATTATTTTTTAATTACTTTTTGGAATTTATTTTATTTTTTTATTCTTAAAAGGTCACGTGTTAAGTATTTTTCAACTGCCATTTGCAAAAAACATATCCTCATTGTGTGAAACTGTGAAGTTATTTGCGTTAAAAATGTTTAAAGGGAAATAATGAGGCAATTCCAATATAAAAAAATAGCCCAATAAACCAAAGAACGATATGATAGCAAAAACGGTATTACTTTTTTAGGGCGATTAGGATATCATATTTTATAATTGAAAACGATATTATAATATAATATAAATTTAATATATTTTGTTTCCAATAAAAAATACAAACATTTGAAAAATATTTCAAACATAAAAATAATTTAAATACACAATTTTCATGAAAAGCTGTTAAGGAAATTCAAATAAAATCAATTCAATTTAGATAAATAATATAAAACTAAAAGAAATACGCGAATTTTGATATTTAAATTTTGTGGTAAGTTGACATGTATACAATTTTAAAAAAGTTTCAGATATTTGCATGACAACGCAGATTTTATGAAAAATTTGATTCTACGAATGTATCTAAGAATGTATATATGGAATCTTTTCTTTTTCAGGCTTTTGTTATTTTACTTTAGCGAAATATTTAGTTAAATATCCTTTAAAATGAGATTTTGATAACAAAAGAGCATACAGAATAAAAGCTAGAAAAGGCGATTTTACTATCGTTATTTTTGGAAATTATGATAGAGAAAACGATATTATAATTTCATGGAAAAACGATATTATAAGGAAAAGTACAATTTAGTCCGTAAGTACTATCATTTCCGATACGAGAACGATATTACTTATGATAATTTTTATTACCTATCACCTATCGTTTCTATATCGTTATAATATCCATGGTATATTTAACAAGGTAGTCTCGTCGCTACAACAAATACAATAATACAAAAACAACAGGCATTTTGTTATTGTAAAATAGGCCAAACTGTCAAAAAAAATGTGTGTGTGTAATAGAAAAACAATAAATAAACACAACAGAAATTTGCGATTTTTGTTTTAAAAATTTAAAATAAGAACTGAAAGAATAAGAAATGTCTTTATTTGCATCCATGTTTACGTAAATAAGTGTCCGGAATATTGAATATCGTAAAATTTAGCGTTCAGCTTTTGTGGTTGTTAATGCATTTTAACATCAAGTCATGATTTTTTAGATAAATGTAAGTAACAATTTCAGATAAAGCATAACAGAATGATAATTTTTCCATAATTTCTCTGAATTAGCTTCATCTGCATAACAAGTCTAAACAAAAATAGGTGAAAATTAAACTAATTCTAAAACTGTAGGTAAGAATGTGAGTGCATCTGTTATCAAGCGTCCCTAAAAGTTTTACAGAGGTATCGAACTTCGTTGATTAAATTGGTGGTTTATACAAAGGTCGCTTCTATATAGCTTTTACAGAACCAGTTCCTGGGATGCTCTTTAATTTAAAATTATCATCGCCAAACTAGAACAGATAAAAGTAGGTAAATTGCATGCGTGCTATGTTTGTGTGTCACACAAACATAGGTCACGTTAAGTCTTAACTCCGGGTACATAAAAGCAATGAGTGCCACATTGAAGTCACACACAATATTATTATTCTCCAATCTTAATTATTTTAAATTAATTTAATTGAATTAATAAAAAATATAAAACTTAAATTTATTTTTCTACAATATTTCACAATTATTTTGAAAGATTTTTCAAATTCAAATAATTTTAAAATTTTCCATAGTAACGTAAACAAACATTTTGACAAATTGGCCTTAAGCAGCTGATAATCAGCTGTGCTGATGAGTATACCTTCTTAATCTACCTTGATAATATCGTTTGGTTTATTGGGAGTTTAGTTTTTTAGAACAAGTGCAAATCAACGAAATACAATTATGATATGTTTAATCAATATCATTAAAGAATATAAAATAGAGCAATTGATGAAATGACCCAAATAATTAATAGCATAAACGCACTGAGTGGTCTTTCAAAATCTTTAACTACCAAAGGGTTGCTCGGAACCAATATAAAGTGAACTGTCGTGTGATACAGGAAAAATACTTAATTTAGATATTTACAAACAGAGGCGGTTATCATCACCTAAGGTCCACAAAAGCAATATCTTTCAGCTAATACATACACTTATTTATATTTAGAACCCAAATCAAGAATAATTACCCCGATCCAAATACGCCTACTGTATTTTATTCATAAAATAGAATCATGTATTCTATTCAAAATACTTATTATTTTCGAAATAAAATCAAAGAAACGATAGATTTCATGTCAAATATTAGTAAATTCTTATAGGTATATAGGATAATAAATCGGTTAAGAAACGTCCAAATTTAGTCGTACTACTACTAAAATTTCTAAAAACTGTTTATATAATATACAGGAGTAATAAAAATGTTAAATTTTATAAAATAATACAGCAATAATAAAAAAAATTAACAAAAAATCTAAAAAAGCAAAATACTTTATTGACCTAAAAAATTAACAATACGTTCACATTTTATAAAAAATCTCGTTAGTTAATATCACGATTTTACCTTTTTTGGTAGAAAATTAAAATATAAGATATTCTTTAAAAAATGCAAATTGCTTAACTTTGCTAAAAATAATTGTTCAGACAAAGCTTTTTCTTAAAATTAATAAAATTTTACATAGGCAAATTACTTAATTGATTCACTGTATTTAATGAATCGAAGTTTCACAAGAGCGTTAACAAAAAGTAGTAAATGTCATGGTGGAATATTGTCCTAATTGATATAGGCTATGGAATCAAGAGGCGCGATCAATAATCTTGTCTCGAGATTGCGACTTTAATGAGTCCAAATTTCCTTTTAAGAAAATCGAGAGTAATGCATCAAGAATTAGAATTGCAGAACGTGAAGACTGCGATGTTGCAAATAGCTTACATCAAATTTAAGAACCAAACCAACAAGAGGGTGAAGGGTAACAGTGTTTCGGTTGAAATAATAGAAGAACCAACAAATTCTGAAGGACTACACAATCATGAAGTGGAAACTGCAACAAATAAAAATATGAAGTGGAAGCTAAACTCAGGGGAAGTACATATGAAAGAAAACCTCCAACCAGACCGACTGATATATATGAAGCCATATTTGAAACCGTTTGTAATGATGATGTCCTCAGCCCGTTTTCACAAATTGAAAATTCGTGTAATCGTGATTAATGGCTTAAAGCTGCCAAAAGCGAACTTTATTCAATGGAGAAGAATAAAGTTTGGAAATTTGTGGATAAACCGAAGAATGAAAAACTTCTCGAAAGTCAGATTCTAATGGAAATCCTGTTCGTTTTGAAACAAGATTAGTTGCAAAAGGTTTCTTGAAAAAATTCGGTGTTGATTATGATGAAACATATTCTCCGGTAGCAAAGTGGTGCCAAAAGAGGCTGCACATTTTACCAATTAGATGTTAAAACAGCATTTCTGCATGGCGAACTTAAAGAGAACATATACATAATTAAATCTGAATGCTGGATGTATTGCTATTTTAAAAAATGCTGAATGTAAAAGGTCAAAACACATTGACATTATGAAACATTTCACATGGGATCATGTTTTAAAGGGTCACTTGAAGATACATACTTCTACGAAGAATCAAGTTGTTGTATTTACAAAAGAGTTAGATAAATGTAATTTTGTTGCAATTAGAGATTTATTAAAATGATCTAATTGAGAAAGGGTGTTGTAATATGTACATTGTTAAAAATACATTATTATTTGTATTTTATATTGTTGTTTTTCGAAGGAAAAATATTCCAACATTTTTAATAAAACCATTTTTATAAAACTATTAGTTGATTTTCCTCTTATTAATATAAAATAAGACCAACAAACAAACTTAGCAAGTGAAATAAAAACTTGTAATATTTTAAAATTTTCCTAAAAAAGTTAAAATTTATTTAGCGCTTAATTTTTAATTCAATATATAAGTAGACCTAAGTTATTTAAAAAGTAATACAATCAATTTAAATATACACTTTACTCGAAACTAGGACTCATTTGGAGCCAAATTACGATATATTTTGTACACATTAATAACATAGCTTTTTTGTTTCTTAAACATAAAATTAAGTGTGAAATACATTTTTTTTAATCAATGTACTTCTATTGCACATTCCTCATTTGCAGATGGTACATCTGTATTTATAGAGAGTTCATCTATTATCTCTGCTAATTCTACAGGTGTAATTGCGTCAGTTTTTTCACCCTCAATATCATTCAAAACAGTTTTCGTATGATCTCGATATATATTAACATTTTTTCGTATCTCTGCATCATCTTCCAAATCTTCTATAAAGTCAAGTTTATCTCTGACGATACGTTCGTCCACCGGGCCATATGTTAAGTGTTTAAGTTTCCAAAGCCGTTGCTTATTGCGGGCTGTACGATCGTGACATTTACGAACGATTATTATATCGGGAATTTGATCTGAATGCAATTTATCAAACTCTGCCTCATTGATATTAATTTCCCTCATGCTATAACACATAACGGAATCACCCACGCTGAGAACATGACCCAGGTGTGAACGAGTATGTGTTATATTTTCATTAGTACCTAGTTGCGATGCACGCACTAACCAAATGTCGCATAATTGATGGCGGCATGATTTTTGACCCTTGCCTGGCGCATTTTTAATATCATTTTCACGGAACGGCTCAACATCCATTACAATAAATTCAATCAGTTGCTTTGGATTACAAATGGCAGAAAACGGTGATCGAAAATAATTTAGACCGCTTAATTCGGATAATTGTGCTGTCATTGGATCTATCAGATGCATTCCATGAGTAACTCTATGTACCAAACACAAAGGTGGCAAGTTGCCGAGTTGATGCCTGAGCTTTTGCGGCAGGCAAACTAGACTGTCTTTTGATAGAGGAGCAATTTCTACGGACCAAGTATATTTATAATGATGAATATTGCTATTTTGATCATGTGAAATTAAACGTCTTGATGGCGTTACTTTTACAGGAACCATACTCTCTAAGAAATTCACCATTTTACGGGCATGATTTTCGGAGGCGTAGTAAAAGTCTAAACCTCCGTGCACTGGCTTAATACCCAAGGTGTTTTCATGAGCTTTGTGCTTCAGAATTAATTGTTCCAAATACAAATAGGTCTTTTTATTTTCCGCATGCTGCCTCACTTGAACTACACAACGCCAATAATCCTTGGCTTCGACACGATGACACTCATTACACATAAGATTTTGAATTGTATAGTCGATAATAACACCTTGACGTAGTGAAGAAAAATCCGCGGGATTTCCTTCTACTACTAATTTTACCTTGAGACGTTTTGAGTGACGTTCTGTCCATATGAAACATGCATCAATTAATTGTAAATTTTTTAAACCTTTCAGTTTTTTTAGACATAGGCCCAACAGTTCGCGGGATTCCCATTTGGCATTTATCCACTCACCGGGAGGTTGCAAAAAACGATCACAACCTTTACAGAACTGCAGTTCGACTTGTTTACATATGCCTGCGGTTATATCAATATGTTCACGTAAACACGTCAAGCACATATTATGGGAATTGGGTTGTATGGATACCCCACATTCACAACATTTTATAGTATTTGTTCTGATTTCGATATTCTCTTCACTATTATTTCTGGCACCTTTAGCGTTAAAATCGACGTATTCCATTCTGCTCTTTGTGGTTGCAATGAAAAAAAGAACCTTGCCTCTGTTATTTTCTTTATGTATTTTGTTATTAAACTATGATTTATTAATAAGGTGATGGCAACGGTAAGGTGGTTGTTTTTTTAATCATTTTTTCTATATTGAATTTGACAGTTATAGTACGGGACAGACAAGACAATCCATTTCGATTGGGTGGGCATCTGAATTTATCAATGTGAATATTTTAAATGAAATGAATAATTTCATCATGTTTGTAAATTAGGGTTGATTTAGATGGTGCAAGTTAACTTGCTGTTGTAAACAAAACAGCAAGACTATTTTGATAATTTTCATTTCGAATGAGATATAAAAGAAATAGGAACCTGTAAAGTACGAACAATTTGTGCCCAAGGTCTATTAATTATAATTAATTTACCTTTTATTTATTTTTATTTATTTATTCAAATGTAATACATGTAGCCACTTGGCCAATAAAAATTATATTACAAGTATTCTTATTATCTATGAGAACATCCACTTCTCCTAACGACCCCTACAAATACATACTTATATAAAATATAAAAATAAGATAAACAATGTACTAGGGTTCTATAGTTGAAACGAAAAGTCGACTTTTCGACTTCTTTCATTTAGTTAAAAGTCGACTTTTCGACCTTTTGCATTTTATGAAAAGTCGATTTTTCGTTGTTTTATTAACCGGTATACTTTTTTCGACTTTTCGACTTTTTTCGACTTTTTTCAACTTTTTCCGACTTTTCGACTTTTTGACTATTTTCGACTTCTTTCTACTTTTTTCCGACTATTTTTTGACTTTTTTCGAGTTTTTTCCGACTATTTTAGAGTTTTTGACTTTTTTCCACTTTTTTTAAATTTTTGACTATTTTTGACTTGTTTCTACAATTTTCGAGCTTTCGACTTTTTCCGACTTTTTTCGAATTTTTTCGAATTTTTTCGACTTTTTCCGACTTTTCGACTTTTTCGACTTTTTACGACTTTTCGACTTTTTTCGACTTTTTTCGACTTTCAGACTTTTCGACTTTTATTAACAAGTCGACTTTTCGACCTTTTTCACAGACGATAGTCGAGTTATCGACTTTTTTGGAACAAAATAGTTGACTTCTACTTTTCGACAAAAAGTCGATTGTTCGATTATTCGAAAGTCGATTTATAGAACCCTACTTAGACTGTATAAAATTATCGCATTGTTGCCAAATAGTTAAAACTTGTATATTTTTGATTGATACAGTACGTGAACAGAGCTATATTTACAAAAAATCTACGTAAACAACAGTTTGCTTATGAATCTGGCATCATCATCTGGATCCACATAAATATTTCAAGCGCAGCGGTGCTGCACGTGTTTTTGTTTTTTATTTTATTAAAATAAATATATAAATTTTCAAAAATTTCGCTGAAATTAATATAATTTGAATTACTCAGTTGTTGGTAGACTTTTGAAAAAATGGAATATGTTGATTTTTCTGGCGGTACCGCAACTGATGCTACAGCTAACAATGATGTACAACAGTCTGTGATATTATGTTGCGAATGTGGTGTGGCTATCCAACCAAATCCTTCGAATATGTGTGTCACTTGTCTACGTAATCACGTTGACATCACCGAAGGTATTCCTAAGCAGGCTGTGCTTCATTTTTGCCGCAATTGTGAACGTTATTTGCAACCCCCCGGGGAATGGATACAGGCAGCATTGGAATCCCGAGAATTGTTGGCTCTTTGTCTCAAAAAGTTGAAAGGACTAAAAGAAGTTAAACTTGTTGATGCTGGGTTCGTGTGGACAGAGGCTCACTCTAAACGTATTAAAGTTAAATTAACTGTACATGGAGAAATATCTGGTGGCACAGTGCTCCAACAAGTTTTCATAGTGGAATTTACAATACAGAATCAAATGTGTGATGATTGTCATCGTACGGAGGCCAAAGATTTCTGGCGCTGTATGGTGCAGGTTCGCCAACGTGCTGAAAACAAGAAAACGTTCTATTATTTGGAACAATTGATATTAAAACACAAGGCCCATGAAAATACTTTGGGCATTAAACCCAAGCATGGCGGTTTAGATTTCTACTATGCCAACGAAAATCATGCTCGCAAAATGGTTGATTTCTTACAAACAATGGTTCCCGTTAAAATAACATCTTCGAAGCGTTTAATTTCCCATGATATACACAGCAACAATTTTAATTATAAATATACTTGGTCGGTGGATATTGCTCCCGTATCGAAGGACAGTGTTGTATGTTTGTCCAAAAAGTTGCGACAACAGTTAGGAAATCTTTCTCCTATATGTTTAATACACAAAGTGACAAGTGGAATACATTTAATAGACCCTATGACTGCTCAGATTGCCGAACTATCTGGTCAAGTATTTTACCGTTCTCCCTTCGGTCCCATTTGCAATCCCAAGCAATTGGTGGAGTACGTTGTAATGGACGTCGAAATAATTATGGATAAAGATCGTAAATATTACCCAGGCCAGGGACAATTGTCTTTCCGTCACGTACTCTGTGATATTTGGGTTGTACGAGCTTCTGAACTAGGTATCAACGACAATCCCATACATACACGCTCACATTTAGGTCACATTCTCAAAGTCGGAGATTCTGTGTTGGGTTATAATATAGGTGAGGCCAATATCAACGACAATGAATTTGAAAAGCTCACGGCCGAACAAATTCCCGATGTAGTTTTGGTGAAAAAATGTTATATTGATCGCCAGACACGCTCGAATCAGCGTTTGTGGAAATTACGCCATTTGGCGGATGAAGCTACAGATGAACGTAGTAAAAACGATTATCATGAATTTTTGGAAGATTTAGAAGAAGATCCAGACTACCGTAGACAAGTTAATATTTATCGCGATGCTAAGAAAATTCCAGTTGACGGCGGAGACACTTTGGGTTTCAATGATAATGTTCCACGTATTACTTTAGCAGAAATGTTGGACGATTTAACTTTGGATTGTGCTGATGATGAAATGGGAGAAACGGAGGATGCACCTGAGGAACCTCAATTGTAAAAAAATTGTATTTTTATTAATACATAAATTTATTATTATTATTATTATTTTAATGAATTATTGGAAAATATTACGTTAATGTACTATATATACTAAAGATGAAAAGGATTTATTATGAATAATTTGTATGTTGTTATTTTTCTTAAATGGTTTTATTTAACTTGATCTGTTAGTTTATTTGAATATCTAAAATTGTTTTGATAATATGAAGTTTTGTGATTTAGTTAGTTTGGTTAAAAATTAGCTTAAACTGAAAAGGCTGATATTTGGGAAATATGTTGACACCTAATAAAAATACAATCCTTGAAAAAATAAGTAGAAAATTGGAACTAATATAAATTGGGTATAACTCTCAAATTTTGAAACAAATTTTACCGCTTAAAGGCCTTTTAATGATATGATTTGTGATACGTATGTATGTGTTTTGGTCAACAAATTTTTCTCTTTCAAATTATACATATTTTGACTGGATCGGTTCATGAATAGGAAAAGTATGATAATATATAAAAAAACATAACAAGTCTATAACTCCATAACTAAAAATTGGTTAACCAAAAGGCATATCACAAATTATAGAATTAAAAGATCTTTAAGTGGTGAATGTTCAAAATTAGAGAGTTATACATATTGTAAATATATGTACGTCAAAGAGTAAATTGTTTCCTAGTAGTGTGGCAACTTGTTAAATGTCATTCTTTTTGTTTACACTTGATTTTGTATTATTTTTGACAAAAATATCAATAAATAGAATATTAATTAAAAATGTTAAATTTTTTAAAACAAACACGTAAATTCGTTAATACTAAGGTAATAAACAAGATTTTAATTTTTTCACAATACTTATTTTTTTTGCATTAGGAACCAATTTGTATTGTTTTGGGAAACGAATCCTGTGATTTGGATTCAGCAGTATGTGCTGTTTCTATGGCATATTATTATCAAAAGAATAGAAACTCTTGTTTAAATACACCAAAGGCTTATAATTACTTACCAGTACTGAATATTCCTAAACGAGACTATCCGCTAAAAACTGAAGTAAAATATATATTTCAAGAAAATAACATTAGTGAGGAATGGCTAACGTTTAAAGATGAGTTGAATGAGGACTTTTTGAAGGATTCGGCATTTGTATTAGTCGATCATCATGTTAGTCCCTGGTTAAAAAACTGCATAGCAATATACGATCATAGACCTAAAGATGCGGCAGCAATTATATCAGATAAATGTGATTTGCATTTGAATTTAGTAGGTTCCTGTGCAACTCTTGTGGCAGAGAAATTTGTAAATGCAAAAATGTTGGATGCTTCGGAAAAGGAGATTTTAAATTTATTGCGTAGTACTATCGTATTGGATACCGTTAACTTTTCAGAGTCTGCGGCCAGGGCAACGCCCAAAGATCTCGAAATTTGTTTAGCCTTGGAGGAAGTTTTGGAGAAATTTAACTGTTTACAAAACAGAGAAACTTTGTTTGAAACATTAGTTAAGGCCAGAGCAGATGTGGGTTCCTTGACGGCTTCACAGTTGTTGCGAAAAGATCTTAAAATTTTAACTTCAAACAAAAATGGTGGCAACATTAATATCGCCATACCCGGTTTCCCACTTCTGGTGCAGCATTTTATTTCCAAATCCGGTGCAGAAGATGCTGTAAAAGAATTTGCCCAAGAATTTAATTGTAGCGTTGTGCTATTGATGGGTATGTTTGTCCAACCGGAAGACAATAGTGTTCATCGTGATTTTGGTTTAATAAATATAAGCGACTCTACTATGTGTGAATCCATTAAAAAACGACTTTTGTCACTAGATGAACCTAATTTATGTGTCGAACTTTACAATAATTGTAATTTTATGGATGGATCATTTTATAAACAACAAAATATTAAGATAACAAGGAAACATGTTTTACCAATTGTAAAAAATATTTTAGATCAATAAAAAAACCGAGAAATTTTTTTAAAATAAATCCTAATTTAATGTCTCTCAATAATGGGCTGATACACAGTAAGTTCGGAAATGTATCACGGAAGTATATGATGCATAAAAAACGTCCAAACACGCAGCATAAAAACAATTGACACAGTGCAAAAATGTATTTTTAGATTTTAATTTATTTATGATCATTATTTTCATTTACTATTTTTAAGTATTCGAATTTAGGTAAACTATGAAAAGATACCAAATTTAATAATATATTTTCTATGCAAAATAAATAAATTAATTTGTTATATTGTCTAGACAGTCCTTATGTTTGATATATCGTTTTTTAAAACTTGAAAAATTTACATTTACTTAAATTTATTTAGCTTTTTTTTAAAAAAGTCCCTAAAACTACTTCACAAAAGTATACGAATTTATTCTGTATTTCATATTTGAACATATTATACGAAACACAAATTCTAGAATCGAATGGTTTTTATGCTTAAAATTGTTTTAAGGAGTTACTATCAACCGAAAGGATATATTTTTGGCCCATTTGGTCCACAATTTTAGGGGATTTGTACCCTCTTTTCACGTAATATCATTAAAATGGCGATTTTTGAAAATATTTGTAATTTTTTCCTCTTTTTTCCAGAGATAAAACCAAAATTTTATATTGGGATTTAATAGACCCCTTGGGATATCCAAAAATAATGTAGTTTGTTACAAGAATCTGTATATAAATGTTCCAAGATATATTATTGGGATCATTCTTCTGTAGCTAGTTCAATATAATGGAACTTAGGACTATTTTTATAATACTAGGGTCAAAAATTTTCAGGGAAAGTTTTCTGGTATGTATTTTTTGGATATCAAGTTTTATACATTTTAAGTTTTCAATGTATTGTGGAAGTGTATAACTCCAAAACATGCTTCGAATAAACACCTTTCAATATAGTAGAATCGTTCTTTTTATATACCAATGGCCTCCAGGCTGCATGTCACCATATCATAATGTTTTAACTCAAAAATCCTTCGCCTGGGTAACAATCTTGTCGCGATGCGAGGGCTTACGTACACTCTGTTGTCAGGGCCTTCTGAGTTTATTGGCTTCAAACCTCTACTCGCGGTGGGTTCTGGCTTATAAAGGGGTGTATAACTAAAGGTTACTCATCCTGTCATGGTATGGCTGTAGCAATAAGCGGTTTACATAGCTTGTCGCTTTATTATCATGGCATAGATGATACGTGATTGCCCATTGCAGGTTCGCTCTTGATTGATAAGAGCTTTACTATTAGGGTATTGCGTTATATAAGCACTTTTAAGGTCAAGGTGGTTGGAAGCAGTGCCGAGGTCCTGAATGGCTAATTAGTGCGTAAATAAATTAGCCGTTAACAGCTCCCCTCAGCGTCAGGGTAAAACGCTGTTGTAAGATAGTTGCCTAGTCCACGTATGCCGTCACTGCGTGGATGGTCCGTCCGAACGAGCATATTCGTGGGATCAAAATTGAATCGAAACATTTAAATAAAGAAAAGGGAGAGGTAGTAGCGGACAGAAAAGACGTACAATGTGACGAAAGGGTAGTAGAGCTGGACACTACGGCTTTCAGGGACCGGACTAGTGAGGATGGTGGGGATACAGACCTATCATTAGACGGAGGACTGACACTGACTGACATTCATGCTAGGATCTTGAAGCATGAAGAACAGATTCTAACGGACTGTAATGTGGACGACCTTCTAGGGTTGTCGAAGGACTCCTTTGGAGAATCCGGCGCCACACAGAAGTTCGGGGAGATGGATCTGTCATCCGACGGGGAACATAACACCACTGTGGTGTCTGCTCACGGTCGGATGACAGAGTCATCCCCTCCCACTGACGAGGCCAAGGAGGACCAATGTAGCCTCTCGGAAGAAGGTCGTCCACATGGCGTAAAGAACGCCAATCTCGTTCGGCAAGCCGCCGTGGAGGAGTCGCCTAGAGCCCCTCCACGAGATCTTGCTAATGCTGGTCGAACGAAAGAGGATAGGGCGAAGAACGGCACCCGGAAATCTCTGGCCTTTCTGGCTAAGATGGAGCAGAGAGATCCGGCGTCGTTCTCATCAAAGGAGAAGTACCTCGTCAAGAAGCACAAGCATGACGTAGCTAGATTTGAAAGAATCTATGGTCCTGTTAGTGTTATCTTGGGGTGGCCTTCTAAGGAACAGCAAGCAGGTAATGATGTTGGCCAGGTATGCACTCACAAGGGTGTGGGGCCTTCAACATCGGCTGCTTGTCGTGACGAAAACAAAAAGGAGGATGGTGTTATTGCTGCCGAAGCGCTCAGGGCCTCGGCGGGAGCTGCGGGTGGCAACAAAACATCATCCAAAGTGGTGCCAGGGGCGAAGAGGGAAGGGAAACCTCCAGCTGCTTCTCCTAAGGGTCCTCAAAAGGGGGCCATTAGGAGAACCGGGTCTGGAGGTGGCCAGAACTCCAAGCTAAAGGGGCCCAGAAAATCTTCGTCGCTGAGGACGGCTGGTAGAAACCCGGCTAGCACCTCTAATGAGCCTCAAAAGGGGACCATTAAAAGAGCTAGATCTGGGGATGATCAGCCGACCTCATCAACGAAGAAGGTGAAGAAATCCACGAGCCTGGATGGAAACTTTCGGGCGGCTGTTATAGATCGGTCTGATCCGGATGGGAAGATCAGTCCCGAGCTTTGGCAGCTGGTCGAGGGCAGGTTCCTGGACGAAATCGCTGCATACAGTGGTAGCCCAGATGACGTATCCTTCAAGGGTGCAGACTGGGCTAGGGGCATCAAGATTGTCAACTGTGGCAATAAAAATTCCTTTGAATTTTTAAGGGCCACGGTTGCCAAGCTTGGAGACCTTAGTCCGGACTCAAAGCTCGAGGTGATTTATGCATCTGAATTACCACTCAGGTCAATAGTGACAGTGTGGATTCCACCACCCATAAGACCGGTGGACACCATACTGGCGGTATTGGCCAAGCAGAACAGTAATCTCCTTACAAACCAATGGAAGTTTGTTGCTTCAATGGTGTGCAAGGAGAATACAGGGAGGGATTTCCGTTTCGCTGTAGACGACAAATCCCTCGAGATCTTGGATGGGCTGAGGGGAGTTGTCAACTTCGGACTTGGAACTGTACGGTTTAGATACTCTAAGCATGACAGATCCAAGGAAGCTGCAGGTGGTGCAAATAAACCTGCATCATTGTGAGGCAGCTTCAGCGGAGTTGGCAAGGTTCATCACCCATTCCCAGACGGACGTGGCCCTAATCCAAGAACCATGGCTAAATAACAATAGGGTTTGTGGATTAGCGATCACGGGATATACTTTGTTCGTCCCGTCCACTGAGGATAAGGTTAGAACTTGTATATTGGCAAAGAATGAACTTAATTTTCTAATATCTCATTCTTTTAGGAGCGGTGATCTAACCGTTATAAACAGAGAGGTCAAGGGTGAGCGGTTGCTCTCGGTGGCCTCAGTGTACATGCCGTATGAAGCTATAGAGCCGCCTGGTGTAGAGGTGCTGGAGCTGACGGCGTATGCAAAGCGGAAGGGCGCTATCCTGATACTAGGCTGTGATGCAAACGCACATCACAGTCAATGGGGCAGTGCTGACATTAATAAAAGAGGTGAGTTAGTGTTTAATTTCATTACTGCATGGAATCTTATTATCTGTAACAGGGGCAATATGCCAACGTTTAGGAATAAAGATAGGGAAACAGTTATTGATATTACCCTTACTAACCAAAATGAGGATCTTATTAGGGATTGGAAAGTACATACCGACTATTCGTTCTCTGACCATAGCCGGATTACCTTCACAGTGAATTTGAGTAAATCCAAGCAGGAACCCTTTAGGGACCGTAGGAAAACCGACTGGTTAAAATTCTACAACAGGGTCCGGTCAGGATTTTCGCAGATGGATATAAATGTTCTGCGGTCCCTCGAATTGGATAAGGTTGTAGACAAATTTACCAGTGTGTTAACGGAGAGCTATGAGCTATCCTGCCCGTTGAGATTTCCGGGTAGGCATAAGCAACCTAAGTGGTGGACCAGGGAACTACGTGATCAAAGGTCGACGGTTAGAAGGTTGTTTAATAAGGCAAAGCTTACTAGACTTCCAAAAGATTGGAACAACTACAAAGTGAGTTTCAATAAGTATAAGGGAGAGATCAAAAGAGCAAAACAGATATCATGGAGGAACTACTGTGAATCTGTTGGCAACGTAAATGAGATGTCTAGATTCCGTAGAATTTTAGCCAAAGACCCCAAGGCCTTAGGTTACATTCAGCGTGAAGACAACTCGTGGACGGAGTCCAGCTCAGAGACACTCTCTTTGCTTATGGAAACTCACTTCCCAGGTTGTGCTGATATAGATGATAGGGACTTAAGTCAGGGGGTCCAAGGACCTGGGGCTTCTAGTTATTCATCTGGTCATATTGATGAAATAGTCACTAGGGACAAATTGGGCTGGGCGGTGAACACTTTTGACCCATATAAATCACCGGGTCCGGATGGTGTTTTTCCGGCCATGCTCTGTAATATTCCTGAAGACGCATTGGCACTTCTAGCTGATATTTTCAAGAGGTGTCTCCTCACGGGATACCTTCCAAGAAGGTGGAGAGAGGTTAGGGTAATCTTTATTCCTAAGGCCGGTAGGGCATGCCACTCGAAACCTAAGGATTTCAGGCCTATCAGCCTATCGTCTTTTATACTGAAGACTTTAGAACGTCTGATAGATCTTTATCTCAGGAGCAATATAGATACCCGTCTTATTAGCAACGCTCAACATGCCTACCTAAAGGGTAAGTCGGTTGAGAGTGCGTTACATGAGGTGGTTGGTTGTATTGAGCACGGTTTAGAGCATAGGGAATATACTCTAGCCGCGTTTTTAGACATAGAGGGCGCCTTTAACAACATTAGAATAGAGGCCATCAGAGAGTCGTTAGTCGTACTCGGAGTTCAGGATTTCCTAGTGAGTTGGATAGTATCGATGCTTGATAGCAGAATTATCAACTCAACCTTAGGGGATGATAGGATTCGC